GAGCCCCGCATCGGGCTCCCTGCTCCGCGGGAAGCCTGCTTCTCCCTCTCCCACTCCCCCTGCTTGTGTTCCCTCTCTCGCTGTGTCTCTCTCTGTCCAATAAATAAATAAAGTCTTAAAAAAATAAAAAATAAAAAAAAAATAAAACAAGCCATGCACCCTTGCTGGCTCTCTCCTCACCTCCCACGCACACCTCCATCCCCAGCAGCATGGCTTCCATCTCGAAACTGCCCGTGGCCAGGGCACACAACCCCGTGCCCTGCGCAAGCCCAGCAGCCCTCAGTCCTCCTACTTCTCTGCCTCCAGGCCCCCACCGCCCATCCCTTCCTAGGACCTCAGCTGCATCCATTCATGTGCTTCGTGTCCCTTACGCCCAGACCCCTGTCCTCGGCTGACCTGCATGCGCCGGCGTGCCCCTGGACAGCCCAGGCAGCACAGGCACTTGCAGCTCGCTCACCCCACCTGGACTCACCTTCACCGCTCCCCTGGCTCAGGCCAGCTCTCTCCACCTCTCCGCATGTGTTGGCAGATGTCCCCCCCCAGACACACACGCGCACGGCATTCACTTCCTATCACTTCTTTTTTTTTTTAAATTTATTTATTCATGAGAGACAGAGAGAGAGAGGTAGAGGGAGAAGCAGGCTCCCAAGGAGCAGGGAGCCCGATGCGGGACTCGATCCCGGGACCCCGGGATCATGACCTGAGCCGAAGGCAGACGCTTAACCATCTGAGCCACCCAGGCGCCCCTTCCTATCACTTCTTAACAAACTGCCACAACACCGTGGCTTCAACGCCGCCCGTTTTATTATCTCACAGTTCCGGAGATCAGGAGTCCTACAAATCGAGGTGTCGGCAGGGCTGAGTTCCTTCTGGAGGCTAGCGGCAAGATTCTCCTTCCTTGCCTTTTCTAGCTCCTAGCGGCTGCCTGCGTTCCTTGGCTCCTGGCTCCCTCCTCTATCTTCAAGGCCAGCGGGATAACATCTTCCCATCTTTTCTGAGTCTGACTCTCTTGCCTCCCTCTTATAAAAATGCTTGTAATTCCAAGGGGCCCACCCTGATAATCCAAGATAATCTCCCTATCTCAAGAACCTTAATGCAATCCCCTCTTGAGAGTCCCTTTGGCCATAGATGAGGACATATACACGGGATCCAGGGCTTAGGACATGGCCATCCTCAGGGGGGTCACGATTAGGCCTACTGTACTTCCCTCCCTCCAACTGCTCTGAGCCTCTAGGATATCCCTCCAGTGACAGAAAAGATGTTGACCCACCTCCCTTCCGTAGGCAACGTCTCCATCTGAACCTTCTCGGTGATAGAACAGCTTGTCCACCACACCTCATCGCTCCTCTAGCTTCAACTAGCCCTCCAGGAGGACCCCCCAACCAGGTTTTTCAAGGAAGTTAACGTCTTTCTCTGAACAAAGCTCCCTGCCCCCCATGTCTGCCGGCAGCCATCCCCTCCCAACTCCTGTCTCTCCTCCACTGATCTCACCCAGCTCTACTGGTCACCCGGGTTCTAAGAGCGTTCCCGTCTGGCCACTCTCTCGAAGGGCTTCACCACAGCACCAGCAGCCACTGAGGCCGGACCATTCTTTGTTGTGTGAGGCTGTCGCGTGCATTATGAAAGGTTCAGCAGCATCCCCGGCCTCTGCTTCTAGATGCCAGTAGCGGATCCGCCCCCTCCCCCCAGTTGTGATGGCCAAAAATGTTTCCAGACGGTACCAGACATCAGGGGCAGCGCGGGGGAGCCAAGGGCCCCAGGTCAAGAACCACTGTCTGACAGGAACAGTTCTTGCTAAGGTGGCCAGTGACTTCCCCGGCACTAAATCCGACAGACACTTCTGAGCCCTTCTCTTGTTGGCTGTTCTGGCCTCCCCACCTCTCGGGCTGCAATTCCTGTCACCCTTGCAGGATCACGCTCCCCTCCTGGACTGCTAACGGCTGACGTTCCTCAAAGCTTCCCCCAGGCCCTCTCCACCTCTCGTTCACCTGTCCTCCCTGGGGGCTGCCCTCCACACCCCCGGCCCAGGGACCCCTGTACACAGGTGACTCAGGCAGTGACACCCCCAAACCTGCTCTCTAAGCTCCGCACCCATGTAGCTAACTGCCCAGTTGACAGGGCCATTGGGGACCTTGCCATCACTCCCAACTCAGCGAGTCCAAAACCAGGATGGGGATCTTGCCCTCCGCCTAGGCCCCGCCCTGCATTCCACTTCTCAGAGATACCTTCCTGACCTGCTGAGAGCGGAACACTGAAGGACTTGTTCTGGCCAATTCCCTCTCCCTTACCTAGGCCGATCAATCTGTTTCCAGAGATCACTCTTGCTCATGCTGAAAGAGGTCACAAACCAGTTCACCTGTCTCCATGTCGCCACCCCACCCTAGCTCAAGCCTCCACTGTCACCGATGTAGAGAACGACTGTAGCCCTCTAACTGGGCTGCGGGTATCCATTCTCCACCAATGCCCCCACCCCTGATCTGTTCGCCAGGCTGCAGCCAAAGTCACCCTTTCAAAACATAAACGAAACTTCTCATTGTCCTTAAAGAGCAAAAGTCCCAGTTTGGTCTACTGGGCCCTATACATCCAAGCTTCTGTCTCCCCCTCCCAGCCCCTGTGTTTGCTGCACTCCAGGCACGATGACCTTCTTCTAGTTATGCAAACGTGCCATCTTCTCTCCTGCCACAGGGCCTTTGCACATGCTGTTCTGTCCATCTGGTAGGTATTCTCTCCCCTCAATCACAGCTCCACCATCGGGAAGCCTTCCCTGACTTCTGGCCACATCAGTTCCTCTGATTGTTCCCTTTTCTCCTAGCCTCACTGTCTCTTCATCACCTGAGTCATGACTTTACATTTACTTATCTTATTCTTTGATTCATTCCAGCTTCCCCACAATAAGCTCTATGAGGGCAGGACTGATGTCTGATCTAGTCCATCGCTCTATCTCCAAGGCCAGTTCAATGCTTAGCACAAAGAAGCCCCACAGGAAGGGTTTAATTAATGACTAATGAATGATCTTGTTACTCCCTAGCCCAACTTTCTCTACTGGCCCCACCTTCCTCCATCTCTGTTCAAGCTTGACTCCTGAGAGTCGAGAGTCATCCCTAACAATCCTTCCTCTTCAGATCTTTACAAACTCTCTTTCTCATTTCCACATCCCATGCCTTAATAAATCTCAGAGATTCTCCTTCCTAAGTCTCTTGCAAATGTGCCTGCCTCTAGCACCTGAGTTGAAACCAGCATCTTTTCTGACCTGAGCCCCCCACCCAGGCCTCCTACCCATCCCAGTTCTCCATTCTGCAACCTAACCTCCCCATTCTGCAAGGCCTCTGCCTGGCCCGCTTCAGTGGCTTCCCCTGGCCCGCAGGATGCACTTACCCTGACTTATGAAACGTAGCGTGATCTGCCCCTGCCTCCTTCTCTGCTGATTTCTCACCACGCTGACTCGGGCTCATTGCTAGCACCACACCGGACCCGTTGGAGTTTCTCTCGCTCAGCTGCTCTGTGTGCCTACAGCATTCTTCCGTGCCCCGTCCCCCAACTGCTACTCATTCCTCAAGTCTCGAGCTGAAGGAAATCCTGCCCAAGCCCCTCAAGTAGGCCAACGGCAACAATTATAATAGCTGATATTCACCGCATGCTTCCCGAAGGCAGGCACGGATCTAAAAACTTCATAGTATTGACCTATTTCGTCTCCACCATCAACTATGATAATTCTGTTACAGAACAGGCACAGAGAAGTTAAATGATTCATCGAAGGTCACATTTGATAGTAAATAGCAAAGTGGACTGACATAATGAACTTGGGCTCTAGGCTCCAGATCCCCGAGCACCGCGAACACCACCATCTCCCTCTGCTCCTAGAGCGTCCTGTCCTCCCCACTTCCGTAGCAATGATCACATGTGCACGTGCCTGTCCAGTACCTGTTCTCCCCACCAGACCGTCCACTCCCTGAGAGCAGGGGCCATGTTCTCCGGCACCCAGCCCAGCACCCGGCATCACTGCTCTTTGGGCTGAATGCCATGCTCTGCATTCCCACAGCCCCCAGACCCAAGTCACCCACTCCAGAGGAGGGCCCAGGTCAACCCTTTGTAAATGCTACAGAATGGCCCGCCAGACACACACACACACACACACACACACACACACACACACACGAACATTCACGGGGAAATCGCCCTGAGTTCTTCCCTTCCTGGCTGGCCGGCCATGGGCTCCCTAGGGCCCCACCACTGATTCTGCCGCCCCAGCCAGATGGGTCGCTCAGCATGGCCCTCAGCCACCCAGGGTGGCAAGCCACTCAGCCAGGGCAAGGGGATAGCGAGATCCGTCATCCCAGCATCCCGGAGTGATGGCAGAAAAGCTCTCGGGGCCAGACTGGGCCAGCGTATGGCTCCCCCTGCTGGTCTCCTTCCACGCTCGCTAGCACCCTCTCCCGCGGCGCAGGCCAGGGAACACTCACCAGCCAGGAGAAGCAGCCAGCTGATTTGTCCTGGGTGGAGATCTGCCCCTCATAGGGGCCGAAGATGTGGCCCTTGGGGATGACCTCATTTATGCATCGCACGTCATTCTCCCCACTGGCTTCCTTGACCACCTCCATGCCCTGCGGGATGGTGAGGGCAGCCCTGTCTGGGATGCCCACGGGCACTGGCGTGTCGGACACAAACACTGGGGGACCGTGGTTCGGGCACTCATCCACAAAGTACTCCTGGCAGGACTCGCAGACTGAAGGGACGGAAAGAGCGAGAGAGCCTCAGTTGCTGCAGGGAGGCAGGACGCCCACGGCGGAGGCTGAGGGGCTTCAGGGAGGCCCACCCTGAGGATGGCATCGAGCAGTGAAGAGTACACTGCGTGGTACCCAAGAGTCCCGGCCCTGGCTCCACCCCAGCCAGCCACAGGCCCCCGACTCTTCAGTGGTAAAAACCCATTACCCTCCCTGGGGGCTCAACGGACAGGCCCGCCAATGCGGAGGAGACCAGGAGCTCCCTTTGTTTTAAGTTTACAGCGCAGCTTTGGAGTCAGATGGGTCTGGGTTGGAACTGCAACTGTGTGCATCTGAGGTCTGTGGGACCCGAGGCAGGGTCCTTAGCCCCCACCAAGCCCCGGTATCCTCACCTGGAAGATGGGACCAATAAGAGCCACCTCAGTGGTTCAGGGTGAGGGTTAACGGAAGCCTGGACCCGTGTCTGATACATCATAGGCGAGTGCCTATCATTAGTCTTAGGCTGCAAATTCCCTAAGCAGAGGTGGGGTGGGGGAGGGGCGGGCGGGAGCAGGGTGAAGGGGTGAAGGTAGGAGAAAGCCAGGAACAGCCCCAGGCTCCACTTACACCAGAAGTCCACTTGCTGGAAGCTTTTGGGCATGATGAGCTCACGCTTTCCCTTCAGTTTCTTGGGCTCCATTTCCATGGTTGAGGGGTCTGGTCTCCTAGAGCTGGCCAGGCCAGGGGCCAGGAAAGGAAGCAAAGAAGCCATCAGAGAGTGGGAGGCTGGTGGACAGAGAAGCTGAGGACCCGGCCAGGAGGCCACGGGGACTCGGGGATGCGGGGCGGGTGGAGGAGTCCCAGCTGGGCTGCCTGCTCAGTGCAGGGGATCGTGAAAAGGTAGGAGTTCTGAGACCTGGGCCTAGGCCTTCTAGGGCCACTGCGTGGGTTCTTCTAGTCTTCTAGAGACTGCGCTCGCTCATGTCTGCTCCCAGGAGCTGCCCAGAGCAGGTGAAGGACGGTGGGCCAGGAGTGGGAACTCTCCCCAGGGCGTCCAACCAACCCAGCCCTGAGATTCCCCACTTCTCCCTCTCCTGCCCCCACACAAGGGCCTCACCAGGGCTGGCCATACTCCTGGTCTCGGAGTGGTGAGCAGACCTCGGTCTTCACCACGGTCACCATATCCCCCACGGCCGCCTTGGTCTGCGCCAGGCACTCCTTCATGTTGTCAGTCATTCTGTCCTGGGGACGCGAAGGCGGGTCCAGCACAGGAAGAGGATCAAAGAGACAGGGGAAGAAGGGTGAGTGTCAGAGAGGGCAAGCGGGGGTCCAGTGGAGTCTGGTTACCCTCCCTGCCATCCCCAGAGGAAGCGCCTGAGAACAGAGACAACAAAAACAGCTGTAGCCCGGCCAAGAGGAAATGCCATTTCTATCCCGGGCTGGTCCTGGGGACGACTGGAGCCACCAGCCCCACGGGGTCAGAGGCCGACGCACAGCTCAGGCCAGGGGGCAAGACTGGATAGCACAGCCTGGACCCCAAGACCAAAGGGCAAAGGGTATGAGGAATCCACAGGAGTCTCCGCACAAGAGTCTGCAATGGGGAGCAGGGGAGGGACGACTCAAGTCCAGCTGGGGCCAAGGGGGACTGGCAGATGAAACGGGCCCCTCAGCGCCCCGTCGCGCAGCCCCCTCACCCAGAGGCTGCCAGGGAATGCAGCCAGGCCCGCTTTGCCAGCTCAGGGCAGGTACAGGCGGGGCCTGGGGGTCCTGGTGCGGGTCGGCGGGCCAGCCTTGACTCCAAACCCCACCCGCTCTGTCTAGGGGAGTCTCCCCAGCCCGCCGCTTACCGCCCTCCTCCACCACCGCGCCGGGCTTCAGCCCCTCCCTCGGCACCCCGGGGTCCTCATGCCAAGCCCAGGGACACTCTTCGGGCCAGGGTGGCGCGCGGCTCTGGCTGGGACCGCGCTCGCGGCCCGGGACTGGGCGAACAGCGTGTGTGACTCACTACCCGGGGCCCCGCTGGCCACACCCCTGCTCCTCGGCTAATCAGCCCCCTGCTCCCCACCGGGGCCCCAAAGCCGGCGGCGGCTGGGAGGGGTGCGGGGAAACACGACGGCCTGCCCCCTCCTCGG